ATAAAACAATGAACTTTCTATTTAGTCATTACTAGTTTTTGCCCGCAACTTTGTCGACTTTTTTTCTAACATCACTCATTTGTTAAATATTTACTAGGTAGGTAGATATATACATACACACTTAAGAGTCAATAGAACAACTCATATTAGCTATTAATATAAATTACGTATATCATAAACCACAAAACAGACAATTATGATGTTCTTGTCGGTTTTTAAGAAGTGATATTTTTGACGTTGACACAATAAACTCTCATCCAGTAAAGCATAATGCATGGTAAAGTTTTGTTACAATTTTTGTTTATAGACAGTTTCTTAAATAAAATAATATTTATTACCCAAATACTAATAAATAAACAAATTTAAACTGAAAGGACTATGAAAGAAAAATACAATAATTATACATTATTATTATAATGTTATATCACTGCTTTTCAGAATATATTTTTTCGAGTCAATTAAATAATGCAAATTCAAAAATTTCGGTTTGCCATAGTGCGTATCTCTGAAGTATGGTTTACATCTACATTGCACGCAGTTTTATTTTATTTTTATTAGTACACCTATTTGCAATTTTTAATTCCAAACTTCAGACATACTCACATAAATATGTCATAATTTTCTCTAAAAATTATGATAACGATTATCTTTAATTAATTTATGTCATTTATTCATTATTAGTAGCTAACATTACAAAATGGGGGAAGATTCTAGGATCCTGCGAGGCGAGTTCTGGACCCAAGCCCACTCATTTGAAATTAGGACAAAGCATGTGATGTTCTCTAATTTTTATTTATTATCTATCCGTTTATGCATACTTATTATTTGGATACTATGACACGATAGGGTCACATTGATAGCTAATTCTATGAACGCTCCCGACTTTGACGATTATTACAGCAAACGTGTTATTATATAGCGATTACTAATAACAGTTTATATTGTCTACAGCTTATAAGAACTGCATACCGTCTGCAATGACCCCTGCCGACCTACAAACTCTTTGTTAGCATAATTAGAATACTGGTTTTTCGTTCCGATGACCTATATAAGTCACGCTAGCTGTCCGGTTCTTGTAACTCATTAAAATGTTATATTGTTAGACGGATTCCAATAAACAAAAGGATATCCTTTTCACAATTTTCTTCCTTAATTATGAGTAAGAGAAATACTTATTATATCTATTAATATTATAAATGTGAAAGTTTCTTTGTTTGGATGTTAAATGACTTCGTTGTCGACTACTATCCCATTGTGATTCAGCAAACGGTGTCATCGATTTCTTTATAAAGTAATCGTTTCTCTTTACCGGTTTTTAGATGTAAGGTTAATTATTACCCTCCTCAGAATAGGCTACGTTACCAACCACCGTTTGAACATTGACGAAACGGAAAAGTAAGAATTTCTCGAAAAATTCGTCTATCTCAAATATCTAAATGATATAGAGCACTAAAGGATTGCGAACGAGTGTCTCAAATCTAAAGAGGACTTTAAGGTTTTTTTTCATGATTACCTTTTTCTTATAAAATTGGGTCACCCATCCTATTTTGGTCATGGCAAAAGTTGCTCCACTTCCACGGTCACAGACCAAAAAACTGCAATGACATAAAGAAACATACTTTTCATGAATGACTTGCAAATAATTAGATGAATGTGGGTGAAGACTCCGGTACATCTTCAGAAACAGGGCACGATACCTTTATAATTTTCTAAACTGAGCTACATTTCTTGTGTTGTTTTCTTCTTTGATATGATACATGACTACATCCTTTCTCAATCCCACTTTTGTATTTTTTCAATTAGACAATATTATAGTGTGTATAGATACAAGCTATACCTTTGTCACCAAATACACAAAGAAACAATGCAGATTTCTTATTTTAAAACATCGGATTAGTTTTTATTTTAAGCTCCGTGTAAGCATTTGCTGATTAATACTACCTACATGCAGAACCATAACATCCCATTTCAAATTGCTTTTAGGTTCCATTTACATTTCATTTTATTCTTCAACTAATTTTTATAAAAAATCAAGCAAACTATTCGAAAAATTCGAGAATCGTTTAGATGCAGCTAGCGAAGTGTCCAAATATCGTGCGACGTTGTCAAATTTACACGAGTTCTATGAAAAAAATGCATAAACTAGCAACATCGCATCCACCCTCACCGTAGACGCAGCATAGAAGCCCGCACACAACCATATAACATAACAGGTGTAAAATTCGAATCGGACGCACACAAGCACAAGGCGCTTTGGTTAATTCTAGGAAGCGCACCATGGAGCCGATGTTAACATTGCTAGAAAAAAAAATTTAGCACCCACACAGCTAAAGCAACAGAGATGCTCGCTAGCGTCATACGTTTCGCAATCAAGTGACGCCAAAGAAAAAGCAGTGGTGTTTTTTTTTCTTTGGCAAAGGTTTTGTCTTTGAGGTTTGTAAGTGTGATTTTTTATGTGAAATATGTACAAGTTACAGACAGTGAGAAAGATTTTTGAAATGAAAGAAGAGTGAAAGAGTGTAAAAACAAAATGGAACTATCGAATAGGTAGTTGTTATGTAGCCAAAGCTAGGTTTGTGGAAGTTCAGTGTAATGACGGCGAACCACCTAAATAAAACCTTATTTTCCTAACTCAGATCTTCAGACGTGGATCATCAAACCTCCTTGGGGGCTGCTTTGTTCAATTGATATTTTCCATTTTGTTGACTAGAAAGATCGCTAATTATACGTAGACTACAAGCTGATAGACGTCCACGTGTATTAAAAAAATTTAAACCTTTAAGAGTTTGTTTTTTAGAATATTTACTTACCAAACGTCTACGTCATAATATCTATATATTAGTAATATGAACTATGCCATCTATCAAAGATGGAAAGGAAAAAAAAGCTCACTAGATGGAAAGAAAAAGAAAGGTACTGTTATTATATTTTCAATTTTTTTTTATAAATGTAATTTAGATCCTCCAGTTTTACACTTAACAACAATTTTTTTTTACAAAGATAGGTCGACTTAAAGATAGAAGTTTAGAGCAATATTAACGTACTTCTATGTGCCGTTTACGTTGAAAAATCATCAGCACTAGCTTTTAATATTCCCACTGCTGGGGCTTAGGCTGGGGAGGATGGAATCGAATAGAAACGGGAGAATAGGGCCTAGTGTGGATTGGTGGTGTTGGCAACTGCAGATGCTGTTGGGACCAAACGACTTAATGTGACGTGACGTTTGCGAAAGTTGCTAAACAATCGTATCGCTAACCGATGCGCTATTGAGCTCCTCATAAATCATAAAAAATATGACATAAAATAAATGGTAAAGATAACTTCCCCAATCATAATACTCGTAATAATTCGATCGATATTTCCAACACTATTTTCATGTAGGTACTATTTTTATTTACAAAAATATACAGCTTTTTATTACGCATTATAAATAAAGTACCTTTTCCCTGACTTTATCTGCGTAAATCATAGCCTATATAATCAGCATGTCACGTGACTTTCCATAGGTAAAAGAATTTTCATGGTCGGATTAGTACCTATTTTAATTAGGATTAGTATTAGAAACTTTATATACTTCTGTGCCTCAGAGGCATAACACTGTAAGTCCAATTTTAGCGTATTGGAGTTATAAACACTATCATTTAGTACTCGACGAGCTCTATACAGTCATAAAACTGTAACTGCATAAAAGCCATTCAATAAAAAGTTGGTAAGATGTATTATATCTTAATTGACGAATTCATTGGAAGCAGAACAATGCATACGCCCATACCATAAAATGTTTAAAATCATTTTACTGTAACTAGGGACTTACATTAAAATGATAATTTTCACTCAAGTTCATTTTACTGTATGTGGGACATACAATGTTCTGCCGTAGAAGCTTTAAGTTTTGCCGAACATGGTTTGTAAAGTGTATATATTAGTGATCTGGAGTTACGCGGGCTCATTCTGCTGTGAGCAGTGAAACGAAGTGGCCGCTGTGAGGATGTCGCGTAGATCGGAACACATACTAAAACTTATTGATTTTACAGAAAATGGTTAGTATTCTTGTATATTTTCGTAGATATGAAGATTGTAATAGTTACTTTGTATTTATTTCAATAAATGTAGCAGTATTTATTGATTTTTGTTGACTTGGTAGTCAAATCATGCACTCCCGGCCGTTTTGAGGTCTACCATATTCGATAGAAATACTTAAGGTGCGTTTACACGTTTGTGAGCAAAGCGTATATTTGGTTCTGCTCGGTTCATCATCTTTGAGTTTTACATGACACTCACACTTACAGAATTACAGAATTAGAACTATTTGTATTTTTTATACAGGGTGGAAATATCTAATGCTACCTTGTTACAATCGTTCTACAGTTTTAATGAATTTCAAACATTTATTTTTAAAAAGGAATTTATCTGCTTTAAATTAAAATAAATGTACTGAATTTACCCTGAGTACGTAGTTTCTTATCTATTTAAATTATTAGTTTAATGATTCTAAATTTCATAGGTTTTCTTTCGTTTAATTAAAAAAAGTTTATACAAAGAGATTTGATTCTAAAGACAGATAATATCAAACTGTGTTACAAAATTATAGGCTGATATTTTTTTTAAATTTTAGCTAGTTCGAGTTTTGGGTGATACATGCAATGTTTAAAAATATTAAAATGCAGTTTTATTTATTTTAAAAACAAAGTAATGATTCCTTTAGTAAAATTTGCTATCTTTAATACTAAAATTACTTTCGCTCCATGCAGCATTAAAAATTTCCTCCCTGTTTGCTCCTGTTCATACAACGGCACATTAATTATTGTAATAGTAGCTTGTAACTGTTAACCTTGCCACGATTGCAATAAGACCAATTCTTAGCATAACTATTATGCTTCTGGTGCTATACAAACGCATTATACTATAAGGATGCTGATATAAATTCTTTTTTATTGTCTATAGGCAACACCCAAGAACAATCATCACCTCTCACTGAGGCACAAAATGTATTTTTTAAGATGAATGAAAGCAATGAAGTTATTAAGAGTGTTTATGAAGATTTATGTCAAAGCACCCCTGATTTGACAGATTTAGAGCCACTTGAGAAACATTTTGACAGTAACAAAACAAAAACCTGTGACCAACCTTCTACTATTTCTAATTCAGAATCACCAACTCAAAACATCAATTCAACTGATTTTACCCCTCTGAATGATCCATATTCCACTGATTCAGACAGTGACTGGACGCCTCCTAAGAAAAGACTTCTGGCGTCAGATTCACCAACATCTCCTGTCATTACTTTAAATTGCATTGACGGCATAGCTGTTACGATCGATGCACAGCCAAATATATCTGGCAATAATCAAAGAATCCAAGTGACACAACTAACAGACACCAATCCTTCAGTAGACAACAACGGCACAGTTATCATCAATCCACAGCCAAGTACATCTGGTACAAATCAAACCCAAATTTCCAATCCTTCAAGTGATGGAACATTTTGTGAGGAGGCAGAAATAACGAAAAAAAAAGTATCGAGAAAAAGGTTGAGAAATACTAACAAATGGAAAAGAGTCGAGGCGAAAAATAAAAGATTGAAAGGAGAGCAGTATGTAAGTAGTGTATCAAAAACAAAGAAAGTTATAAGTCAAAAAGTTATGAAAGAACCTTGCTCTAACAGTTGCAAGTTTAAATGTTCAAATAATATTTCAAACGAAAATAGGCAGTCACTTTTTGACACATTTTGGTTTACTATAAATAACTGGGACCAAAGAAGACAATATATTGTTTCATCTATAGACATCATTCCTGTCATGCGCCCTCGGAACCGAACTAATAGTGAATCGAGTCGCCGCAAAAATACGCGAATGTATCATTTAATGCTGAGTGGTACTAGACTTAGAGTCTGCCAGAAGATGTTTCTAAATACATTTTGTGTTACTGAACAATTTGTGTCAACTTCACTATCTAAGATATCAGGCGTAACAAATGTTGTATGTCCAGACCTAAGAGGCAAACACCCGCCAGCAAACAAAACACCTGAATACGTCATTGATGGAATAAAGGAGCACATTTCTTCGTTTCCTTTGTACACCTGTCACTACGCTAGAGAACAAACAACTCGTCAGTTTCTTGGGCCGGAACTGAATATCACTAAAATGTATAAACTCTACGTGAACAAATGCAAAGATAATAATATGCCCGACGATAAAATACCTAAGAAATGGCTATACGATAAAATTTTTAACGAACACTTTAATTTATCTTTTTATTTACCTAGTGTTGACACTTGTGATACATGTGACAAATTTGCAGCTATGTTAAAGTGTGAACAAAATCCAGAAGAGATTGAAAAATTGAAAAAATTAAACACCGAACACCTTGACGATGCTACAAACAGGTATAGGTTAAAGAAACAAGATAAAGAAACAAGCAAAGGCTCCGAGAGAAAGTCGATAACGTTAATGATGGATATGCAAAAATGTTTAGCCACTCCTTTGCTGACTAATAGCCAGTCATTTTATCTAAGGAAACTCTGGACCTTTAATGAAACTTTACAAAATGATACTGAAAATAAATCGTTTTGCATGATGTGGGACGAAACCCAAGGAGGAAGAGGTGCAAACGAAGTTGGTTCCTGCATAATACAGTGGGTTTTGCATCACAAGTCCAATGAAACAAAGGAGATAACCATATGGTCAGATAATTGTGCAGGCCAAAACCGTAACATTGTTCTTATTTACTGCTATTTTTGGCTTGTACAAAATACTGATTTGATGACAATTAATCACAAATTTTTGTTACGTGGACACACGCACAGTGAAGCAGACACCGTACATTCCATCATTGAGAGGAAAAAAAAGGAGCTAACTAATTACGACATAGCTGTGCCACGAGACTGGCAGCAATTTGTAAAAGTTTGCAGAAGTCAAAACCCTTTAATTGTTCACAATATGAATATCAACAACATATACGACTTAAAAAAGCTCAGGAACAATTTCAACCAGCGACGTAAAAATACAGACAATGAGATGTTTCTCATTTCACAATGTGTGTGGATGCAAATTCGAAAAGACGATAATGGTATTCTTTTCTATAAAACGTCTTTTGAAAATGAAAATTTTTCTCAAGTGAACCTAAAGAAACAAATGAGGCAACCATTGACTCTGCCTACAACGTTGCCAGTTGCCTCCCAAATCAATCGTCCAATTGGTACTAAAAAATATAAAGATTTAATAACATTGACTCAGTGGCTTGCAGACCCTGCACTGAAACATTTCTACGTTGACTTGATACATACTGATCAAGCAGATCAGATTGAAGAAGATTAAAATGTTACAGCCCATAATTTTATTGTTGAGATTTCATTTATTTTGCATTTTTATGGACATTAAGTAAGACTCTTCGTAACTTGTGCCAAGGATTCTAATTTTATAGCCCTATGTGTAAGGTTATTTTTAATCATAATAATATGTTTGTGATCTCACTATACGTCATACCTATTTGATTTATACCTAGATACTAACTTGTCAAATTGCAATTTTAACAAATTGAAAAGGTTTCTTAAATGTTTTTATATAGATCCATGCAGTCATTTTACTGTAAATGCCAAATGGCTAGTCCAACTCACCAAATCTCTTAGAAGCATAATAATGTAAGTAGTACATACTTTTTTTATATCGAAAAAAAAACAAATAAAGAGCAAAGATACGAAAACGAATCTTTTATAGCAAAAAGTTGATTAGTTGTACTACATTATAATAAAAGAAAATTCCCTTAATAGTTTGTTTTATTCACTCTTAATACTCTTCAAAAGTAAAAAACACATAAGTTTTGCAAAAAAAGTGGATTACTGCGGAAGTGACTTTTGGTACTTGCAGTGTTATGCCTCTTATATATATATATATATTTATATAAAAATACAAAGTACAGATTGATAAATAAATAAAGATACGTAGTTAAAGTTTCACTTTGTATTTATTCCCAAAACGTAATACGCTCAATTCAACCGAGAAAAAGGTGAATCAGAAAATACGGAATCACAACCAACTATCAAGAAGAGGTTAGGGGTGCATAGGAATGCAGCGGGGTAAATAACGATTTACAGTTAGCCGGGGGTGATAGGAACCGGTTCCCATACAGCCTGTCATAACGTTTTATCCGATAGAGGAACGCTCCCTTTTAATTAACAAACAAAGTACGAACAGGGTTACTATTTGTTAATATTAAAGTGTAATTGATTCGAACCTTTTTTGTGGTCACGTCTCGATTTCATTGTTTTTTTATTGCGAAAAGATAACGTTAGTGATTGAATTTATGGTTTTTTTTTCTTTATATTAGTATGCATTTAGTTTTTAAATATCTTTTCGAATTCAATATAATTTATTCAATCTAAGCTGTTACAAACACTTATGAAAGTCAAAAACTATGCCATCGGTTCGCAAATCTACGGAGTGACACCTTGCGCTGAGAAGAACCGGCAGGAAAGTCAACAAAGGCTGCTTTTTGTCTCTGTTTACTGCGTAATCGCTTTTTTATAATATCAGAAATAACACAACATATTTTTTTCATTTAGTGATTAATATTCTTAATCGTCTTTTGATTCATAGTGAACCCTTCAAAACTTGATAATCAAGGGGCAGTAATAATATAACACTTGCCTACATGCGTCACCAGAGTTGAATAGTGATAATATAAAAGTGAGGCATTTCCATGATTTCATTTTGCATCGTAACTATGTACCTACATATTTTTCCCTCACAGTTATCACTGGAAACTAACCAATATTCTAGCAATAGGTCGTATCGTATGATTCTATTACTTCTTTCTCTTTCTTCGCGCACAGTTTCATTGTATTATATGAGCTGGTATACCTTCAAGTTTACGCCATTTGTTACTGCAACTCGTCTAATTATCATTGCCCAGTGTTGTGATAAAGAAAAGATTAGCTTTTTGCATTTTTTAATATATTTAGAAGATATTTCGAAGAAAAATTTTCGAGTGGCTTGCGATCGTTGTTGTTAGGCAACCTTCGCAAGGGTCGGTCACGGGATGGGTGACAAAAAGATTATTATCTCGAGTCACTCCGTGTATCGGAGGTCACGTTAAGCCGTTGATCCCGGCTGCATTTTCAGTCGATAATACCCTCCAATCCGCATTGGGCCAGCGTAGAGTTTCATGGCTCATCCTCTTTAACCATCCATAAGGAAGGCCTGGGCCCCTGCAGTGGGGACTTAAAAGGTTGTTGATGATGATGATGTTAAATTTTATAGTTCATCCACACGATTTTCGTGTAATGACAAACTAAGCTTACTACACGTAATAACGAGGAATTGTTATATTTGAAGAGCCCGATGGCGCAGTGTTAATGTCATAACATGATGGATCATGGCCCTGTTGGATATGATTCGATTTCATTCTTATGGAAGGCCTGACCTCTGACGGTGGGGACGCTGATACGCTGGTGACGATAATGATGATCCGCTCTAAGCCATCTGTTCATTATGAAAATGGTCTATGGTTACTAATTTAAGGTCCTCATATCAAAGTCTAATATGCACACCATATCGCTTACCACTACCTTCATTGTTACTTATTGGTTTAATACCACCACCATAAACCTATTAAAGTCCCCAATGCCAAACAGGCCTTTCCTATGAATGGAATCGAATGACCAACTACATGACAATATAATCACCAACTACAATGTTTGTTTTATTATGTTTTTTCTACCATTAGTTTTCGTTATTCTCTATGAATTGATAGTTATTAGTAGGCTGACCTTTGTTGAGCCATATTGTAGAACGTTGCATTCAGCTTCTCGGCTGATTGAAAGTAAGCCCGCTAATTGAATTGCGACTTTGAATTAAAGTAATGAATAGTTTAATTATAACAAATAATACACCACTGCTGCATATTTCAATATAAGAAGGAAAGACATTATTCATTTTTAAGAGACGGAAGGGTTCAATTTTTTTTAACTTAGCAAGTACTGCCATCTACCACAAAGCTTTGCGTAACATTTCCTGTCCCCTTGCTGTTCTTCTTAAATGCTGACACGAACATGATTTCATGCATTACAAGATTTTTTACCTCCTACATAATGATGGTAGGCTATAATTTAGGCGGGCGAAGTCGCGAGAAAACAGCTAGTTTATAATAAAACATTTTTTTAGGTATACTAACTGTATCGGTATTAGTAAAAATTTTTAAATAATAAATGCTTAGTAGTAAATTTTGATAACTGATTGATTACAGATAATAATAAATTTTATTTAATTGAACCTTTAGAAACTATAAATTCACACTTTCATTGTGACAATACCCTTAAAAGTAGATTCTAACTTTACCTTTAGATGAAGATTTTGTCAACTATAGCTTATTTGGTTGTTATGTCTTTGCTCAAAAACAAATAAAAGTAAGTGATTTTTATTTACGCGCCCTCTTAATAGTAAGTAAATGTTTTCCTGGTCTCGTTTTTCGAATATTTAACAACATAAATATTATTATATTTGCTCAATTTTGCATTTACAATTTTATACTGAAAAATATAAATATTTTTAGCTAAAAACCTTATAACTAAATAACTCCTATTTTTTTTTTCAATAAAGAGAAGGAAGATTGTATTGATATGTGAACCTTATGAAGTTAGTTCAAGGCTCGCAAGTGATTTGGTATGAAGATATAAATAGACTAGCTGTTTGCCCGCCACTTCGCCTGCGTAAATTATAACTTATATTACTCGCGTGTGATATAGCTTCCCGTAGATGAAAGAATTTTCATGAACAGATGAGTATTTTCGAAGATACAAACAAACAAAGTTAGAAACTTTAGCTCTTTTATAATATTAGAATTGATATTGCTCAAGAGCGGGCAACAATGATAAAAATTATTTCATGGTTCATACTTCCACAAAATGTTATTGACGTACCTGTAATAGTTATTTAAGATACGAGTGCGGAAAGTAAGGTTTTACGAATAAGGACCAAATTGAAAACACGAGCGTAGCGAGGGTTTTCATTGGCACGAATTCGAAAAACCTTTTACGCTCAAGTTTCTTACAACATTTTTCAATGCTTTTTGCGAGGAAATAAAACAAATATATAGGTTAATAAAACTAAGTATGTATTAAAGGTAAAAATTATTTGTTAAAATTAAACGTGATATTTGAACATGTTTTCGTGTCATACTCGAAAAACCTTTTACGCTCAAGTTTCTTATAACATTTTTTAATGCTTTTTGCGAGGAAATAAAACAAATATATAGGTTAATAAAACTAAGTATGTTTTAAAGGTAAAAATTATTTGTTAAAATTGATATTTGAAAATGTTTTCGTGTCATACATTTTTATTTGAAAATATTTGTTCTAGGCTCCTTGAAATACGCCTTTAAAGTTTGACATACTTTCATCAATTTTTTTTTTAATTTCTTTGGTGCTCGGCCAAAAAAAATTAAAAAAATACTTTGAAGCACGTGTGCAATAAAGGATTTCAGTACATTTTTATTTAACACGTGTTTAAAGACTTACCTACTTTCGGTATTTACAATTTAAAAAATCATGTAAAGAACCTACTTATGAGTAAAGGCTATTATTAAGTTGTTTATTGTTCCGCAATGCATGGAATTGATAGCCTTCACTTTGTTCTATACTGACTAATTATATGCACTTATGCTATTATCTATAGACCCATATATATATACGTATTACTTTGGTAATGACATGATTGATGTAAATATTGTTAATCAGTTTAATGTTACTCTTGATAAAGCAGCTCTTTAGTTTTTTTTTTCATTTATTCTCCTTGTCAGCTATAAGACGTGCTGAACGAGTGGTAATTTTTACGATAAATTTGTACGATTCAAAAATACTCGTTAAACGTATTATAAATTGCTACATAAACTAATCTATACTTAAATATTAGAGAGAGGAAAGACTTTATTGTTTGTTTGCAACGAATAGGCTACGAAACTACTGAACTGATTTTATCCCGAAAAACAGTAAATAAAGGAATGAAAATAGGTGTGAAAGTTTGTGTAGGGAATTAAAACATTACCATAGTAACACAATGTTTACTATTCAATTTCTCATTGTTATTATGTTCATGATATGAATCGATATCCAAATAAAGAGTTCCCTGGGGACTACGTGGGTGAAGCCGCTGGTGAAAAGCTAGTAAGTATTTTTTTTTATTTTATTTATTTATGGCTTTATTTTTTATGTAAGAAATAATGATTATTTGTTGCTGTGTCGACCTTCTAACATAATTATAATTGGATACTCATTTATTTACTTTGTAATTTTGATTTTAAGTTTATAATATATTATTTAGTA